TTCCATTGTGTGGATTTGCCACATTTTGCTTATGCATCCAGGTGGGAGACTTTGAGAAGTGTCTACTTGGTAAGTTATGATAAGATTCGTGTGCATGCTTTTCCATTCGCTTTCCCTGGGTAGATACCTGGGTCTGGAACCCGGGGCTGAATGATCACCTTATATGTGGCATTTTTGAAGAGCTGCCAATCTGCTTTCTGGAGTAGCTGTCAAGCACGAACGCTCCAGTTCCACCACAGCTTACGCAACACTTGTTGTTGTCTTTCTGATCATAGCCATCCTCGTGGGTGTAAGATAGAATGCCATTGTTGATTTGTTTTTCTCTAATGACTAATCATGCCGAGGAGCTTTGTGGGCTCATTGGCCATATATTTACCTTCTTTGGAGAAGAACCTATCTGCATGTGGAAAATGAGCTCCTTTTGTTGAGAGACAGCTCTTCGGATCTACCTGGATGCTAGGCCTTGGGCAGTTTGTGATTTGCACGCATTTTAGCCCATTCTGTGAATTGTCCTTTCTCTTTCTGATGGTGTCCTTTGGGGGGCACTAAACTTCTAATTTTAATGATGTCTGACAATAACAAACTTAGTTTATCATTTGTGTTTGTGGTATCTGAGATATTTCAAGGGTTTTGTATCTCTGCCAGAGTTTGAGAATCAGAGGCCCCTGAAAACATCCTTTATGTACTTCTGCTGTAAATTTATTTTTAAAAGTTTTCTTTTCCTTTCTTCCATGTGTATATGAGACACATTTCCTTGGGGGAGGGCCTCAAAAATGTGTGGGTGTACGTGTAGTGTGCATGTATATGTGTGCATACTCGTGAGTGTACATGTAGAGGCCAGATATTGATTTGGGGAATCATTTTTTACTTATTCATCGAGACAGGTCTCTCAGCCAAACCCAGAGCTTCCCAACCTAATAGTCAGCCAGCTTCTTTGGGAGTTCCCACTCCTGATTTTTGAAACCGCAGGTCAGCTCCACTTTACTCTCTTGATATTTCCATTAGTTCTGGGATCCAAACTTTGGTCCTCTTGCTTGTTTGAGAGGCCAGAGCTTGTTTGTTTGTTTGTTTTGTTTTAGTTTGTTTGCTTGATATAGAATTTCATTGTGTAGCTCTTGCTGTCTTAGAACTTACTATGCAGACCAGGCAAGCTTCAAATTCACAGATATCCTCCTGCCTCTGCCTCCCAAGTGCTGTATTTAAAGGCGTTCGCCACTGTGCTTGTCTTGGGGCCAGCACTTTAACAATCACCTCTTTTGAATGTTTTATGAGACTGAGCCCTGGCCTTATATTGATAAACAGAGAACTCTCTGTCTCACTCGTAAGGACCCTGCTCTTGTGGAGTGTTTATATTTACTAGCGGACCTTGAGAAGAAATAAACAGAGAGCTGGTGAGGCTCAGCGGTAGAGGTGCCAAATCTGGCCAGGTGTCTTCTGTGGCCAGCCTTATGACCTTCACGACTGGCCATAATACTCCCACACATGTCCACACAAGCACAAAATAAAAAAAAAAAATAAATTTTTAAAAAGAAAAATAATAGAAAAAATAGATTAGTAAAGAGTTGCATTTTTTAAAAAAACTTTTGTTTTTCTTTTTCTTTCTCTGGACACGGTCTCACTTTGTAGCCCTGGAACTCGCTATGTAAAACGCGCAGGCCTGGAACTCACAGAGATCTGCCTGTTTCTGCCTCTTAAGAGCTTGCAGGACACCAAGGTGCATTCTATAAAGAATAAGGAACAGAGAGAGTTTGAAAGCCTTTCCCATTGCCTTCGTGGAGGAGGAGACGTCTCAGTCTAGCTGTGAGGGCAGAAAGGCCGAGTATGCCGAGTGGAGCGGGATCGCTCCACGGATCACTCCACGTAGTGCCGAGAGCACAAGGCACAGTCTTACTCGCACTAGCTCTATGTAGACAGATGGGTTGAAAGGATGTCTTGCTTAAAATGCCTCATTAGACGAGGATTCTTCAGGAAGCATTTGGGATTCATTTGGATGAAGTCTCTCAGCTTGGAAGTCTTCTAAAAGTCCTAAAAAAAGAATCTCATAAAACCAAGTGGATGAAGGTTTTATATTTGTGTGTGTGTGTGTGTGTGTGTGTGCATCTTTTTTTGAAAAAAAGAAAATAATATGCTTGCACCAAATTAGTGTATTATTTGCACATGACTGTCATCACCTACACAGTGATACAGAGAGAAATAATTATTTCAAATAACGATTTCTGATTTTTCTGCTCCTGAGTGAAACTGCTCAGAGCTCAACAGTAGCTCCAGCAGGGGGAAAGCACAACTGCGATCTTACGATAGCAATCAAAAAATGTATTTGTTGGCAGCAATCTCTTTCCCCAAATGTACAGTAAGTCCTGAGCTTGTGAGTTATGGGTAAAAGAACCTTTCTGATAAATAATATATCAGGTAATAAGCAGCAGGATAAAAAAAAGGTTTTCCATTGAAGAATTCAAAATGAAAGAGTAAGCCTGAGGGAAGTTTGCTCAGTGGAAGGTAGTGTTTGCATGGGGGCGAAAAAAGCTGTAACTGGTTGCTCTGAATTCCCGTTCGCTCTGTGGCAGCACTCTGTGGCCTATACTTCCAGGTCTTTCTTGAATGCTAACTTCCGGAAAAACTTAATCTCCAGATTGTACGGCTCTGGGTGATAGGCTTAGGGCATTTCCTTTACCCTTTAAAAATTTAAAACTGGTCAGGCCGTGGTGGCACAAGCATTGAATGCCAGCACTTGGGAGGCAGAGGAAGGCGGAGCTCTGTGAGTTCGAGGCCAGCCTGGTCTACAGAGTAAGTTTTAGAACAACCAAGGCTAAATAGAGAAACCCTGTCTCAAAACAAAGAAACAAACAAACAAAACCCAAAATTCAAAGTGTGTGTGTGTGTGTGTTTGTGTAGGTGAGTGTGTGCACATGAATGCAGGTGCCCACAGAAGCCAGAGGAGTTGGATGCCCCTGGAGCCGGAGTTACAGGTGGTTTTGAGTCACTTGATGTTGGTCCTGGGACTCAAATTTGGGTCCTCTGGAAGAGTAGTAGCTACTCAGAACCATTTAACCATCTTTTTGGTCCTTCATTTAACCTTTTAACTCCCACAGATACGTAGGTACCCACACCCCCATTTTGTTTTTGTTTTTTGGTTTTTCGAGACAGGGTTTCTCTGTAGCTTTGGTGCCTCTGGAACTAGCTCTTGTAGACCAGGCTGGCCTCGAACTCACAAAGATCCTCCCGCCTCTGCCTCCCGAGTGCTGGGATTAAAGGCGTGCGCCACCACCGCCCGGCCACACCCCCATTTTGTATATGAATAAACTGAGACTCCCCAGGTCACGGGGCTTAGTTAGTGTTGGAGTCCATATTAATTAAATTAATAATCAGAGATTTTGAAATAAATGTCTAAATGACTCCTGGGAACAACTTGATTTAAGCTGCTTCAAGCACCTAACTGCCTGGATGACCTACCCTTTAAGAAAGACTTGGCTTCCGGTTTTTGACCAAATGAGAGCGTCAGGTCACACAGTGCAGCAAACCGTTTGTTTACTTTCCCCACTCATTATCCTACTTGTTCCCCAAAGCAGGCGGGTGTTTAGCAGGTGGTAGATAGTAAATTATTATTCTAAATGGTGCCCAATAATAATAAAGAGGCAGCTCCCACGGTGTCAATCCACAGACAAGGGAATAATTAATGCACTTCTGCAAGCAGATGGATTTCAGAGGGATTTGAAAAGTATTCTAAGTACAGTATCAGTATTTTATTTATTTATTTTTTTCTGGAATTTGACTAGGGCGTTATTACTTTGGGTCTGATTATTATGCTGACACGTTTGCTTTTCCTTTGTTATTATTTCTTTTCCTTAGCAGTTGTAGTGTTCGCTTTAGTTTGTTCGGTTTGTTTTTTAAAAAAATCTCTTTATTAAGACTGTAGCATAGAAACACAACGGGCTGGGGAGGAGTACGGAATAGGTGAGTGAGGGAGAAGGAAAGAAAGAATGAGAAGGAGTAAGCAGGCCCAGGTCTTTATTCTCACTGCTTTTTCCCCCCTTTGTCGAGGGGGAGCAGAGAGGGACTGTAAAGGTCTGTTTACATCCACTTTCCCCACCAACCTGCTTTCATTCCTTAAAGTCTAACTTCGGGGTTATTTATTGTGATACTGCCCGGGTTCAGGACACAGTCTGGTACTAGACAGATGCCCTCAGTGGCTGGTTGGATGAAGGAAAGGTGAGTAAGAAAAAGGATGCCAGAGTCTGACTTGAGAAGGGAGGAGGAGAATCCGAAAGTACTGAAGGGATGGAGAGAGAAATGGAAACGGATGTCCCCAAAGACTGGAACCGGGAGAGAGGAGGCCTGAGTAGAAACCACAAAGGTTTCCAGGGAAAAAGTGGGAGAACGGAGAGGGTGAGGGCTAGACAAAGAGCGGCGGGCCGAGGCTGCTCAGAGACTGGTCGTGGGAAGAAATGGGGGAAAAAAGTGGCCGGGCGGGGAGGCGGCGGAGGAAGGGGCGTGAGGG